TTAGATAGATCTCGATTTTCTCTTTCAAATGAATGTAAATTTATTTGTATAGCTTATTTCTACGAAGAATTATCAATGATTTTGTCATGAGAGTTATATTTGATCTTTTAAATTTTAATGATATCTTATATTAAAAAAAAATTAAAAATTATATAATTAATTAGTTTTTTTTGCATTATCTGGTATAAATTTATTATTCTTATATAAATGATAATTTATATTTGCTTTAATAAAATTATTTTTGTGTAAAAAAATTAGATTCCAAGGATCGGCCCATATGATTCAATTATCAATTATAGGGACAAATCCCATAGGTAAGTTTCGAAAAATAATTTTTCGAAACTATTAAAAAATGTTTTTAACGTTTTTTTTCTAATACACTATTATAGGGAATCGGTTATAACGAATCCCATAGGTGAGTTTCGAAAAAATTTTTCGAAACTCTTTTTTTTAATATACAATTATAGGGAATCGGTTATAACGAATCCCATAGATAAGTTTCGAAAATATTTTTCAAAACTTTTAAAAAAACGTTAACTAACGTTTTTTTTTTAATTCTTTTATAGGGAATCAGTATAATGAATCCCATAGGTAAGTTTCGAAACATATTTTTTTGAAACTATTAAAAAAACGTTAACGTTTTTTTTTAATTCTTTTATAGGGAATTGGTATAACGAATCCCATAGGTAAGCTTCGAAAAATATTTTTTTGAAACTATTAAAAAAACGTTTTTAACGTTTTTTTAAATGTTCTATTATAGGGAATCGGTATAACGAATCCCATAGAATCTCATAAGTAATAAGTTTCAGAAATTTTTTTTCGAAACTATTAAAAAAAATGGTAATAAACATTTTTTTATTATTCTTATTATAGGGAATCGGCTCTGATAGATGTATATACCGGAATTTCATAAGTAAGTTTTAACTTTTGAAACTTTTTTTAAAAAACTTTCTTTAATGTTTTTTTATTTCTTTTGTAGGGAATTTGCTCCAACCTGCTTTACAG